CTATGGCCCTGTGTACAAAGCGATCGTGGCACTACGACACATCTCCTATGGTTAATAAGACTTGCCACAGTTGTAGGGCTACAACCTCTTTGTGAAACAGGACCAAGGATGGCATATATATACAAATATGAGTATATTATCAGTGTTCGAAATGCCTGCCTGCCCGACCGCCCGGGACGGGTTATTTTCAACTGCCACATTCTCAAATTCACCTGTCCGACGGTCGGGTTAAAACTAGGCATGTATATGAAGGTATTTTGTGGGCAGGTAAGTTTTGGTCAGGGCTGGCAAGTTTTACATCTAACCACCCCTGTGGTCTGGCTGAAAGTTTTGGGAGTTTCATACCCTGATATTATGCAGCAGATTCAAAGATTTTGTGCCATTTCCGGATCAAGTGTCTGAATCAAAACACTTTCCCTTTCATCAATCAATTTTTAACACAATATGAACTTCATTTGTTTATAGACAGTCATTAATGTGTTGGAGCAAAATGACTCTAATTAACATGAACATCAATGCTTAAATCTGTACACAGTGAGAATCCTCATTCATACTGTCCCTCCTGGGCATACTTTGCTTTCAAAGTGTTTCTGAATACTGAAAAACAGCAGGTGAGTGCATTTCTATTCTGTCTCTATTGAGATATACAATGCTATTTGTGCAGACAAGATTCTGTGGAAAATGGCTCCAGGTTTCTGCAACAAGATGACATTTATGGTCCCGAATAATAATAATAATAATATCATTTTCAAAATTATACTACCGACAATAAGTATGGGAACACCCAAATATCAAAAGTATAACAAAGTAAATGTAAAGTGGCAGTGTCGGTTTATTACAAGGGTATCTAAAACATTATTTGTTCTTACAATGTAATGGATTTATGGGCAGATATCATTGACTGCAATGCCAGTACAAGCAGCGAAGAGGATAGGGGGTCAAAACTGAAAGTCACAGTATCAATAGTGGGTGTGTCCTCCACGCTGATAGATGCATTCTGTACATCTGCGCCTCATGGACCTGACAAGGGTGCGGAGGGTAGCTTGGGGAATCAACTGCCATTCCATCTGGAGCCACTGTACAAGAACCTGAAGAGTCGGTGCCATTCCATGATTGTCTCTAACACGTCGTCCAAGAATGTCCCATAGATGTTCAATTGAAGCCAGATCCGTTGAATAAGCTGGCCACTGCATCACATTCACATTATTTTGTTGCAAAGAAGTCTCTAACGACTCGGAGCTCGATGTGGTCTGGCATTGTCATCTTGCAGCTGTGCTCCGGCACCAATGGTGTTCAAAGCTGGAAGAACCAAGAGGACGCAGAATCTCATCCCGGTACCTCCATCCAGTCAAATTGCCCTGTACATGGTACAGAGGAGTACGGTGATGTAAGCTGAAACCTCCCCAAACCATCACAGAGCCACCACCAAATCTGTTCCTCCCCCTCACAGTAGCATCATGGTAACGTTCTCCACGCCTCCTGAAAACCCTAACCCTTCCATCGTTGTGCTCAAGACAGAATCGTGACTCGTCAGTGAAGAGTACCCCGGACCACTGTTGCTGATTCCATCTCATATGTGCTCTGGGCCCAGGCCAGTCTTGCAGCTCTATGGATGTGGGCGTTGATGAGGACGTACCACTGGACGACGTGACCGTACATTAGCAGCTCTGAGACGGTTCCTGATGGTTGAGATGCTGACGTTTGTGTTGGTTGCATGTCTGAGCTGCAGCCGTAGAGCACTGGCAGTTGTGAAGCGGTTCCTAAGGGCGTGGAGTACAACATATCGATCGTCTGCCCTTGTCGTTTTCGTGGCCTTCCTGATCGAGCTCTGTCTTGTACTCGACCGGTGGTTTGGAACCGTTCCCTCAGCCTATGGATGACGGAAGGGGACACCTGAAGGCGACGACCAACGCTTCTCAAGGATTCACCATCCTCTAGCCATACAATGGCCCTGCTTCTGTTGTGGTCGTTTAATGGTCTACGCTGAGGCATGTTGGGGTAATTGTGAGGCTTCAACACTGTCTGCGGCTTCTTTTAAGGAAAAGTTGCCACAACATGCATGGGAAGTCTGTCTTCACGTGCACTAAGTTGTTGTGTTTGGGCGTTTGAATCAGACACAGTGCAGGTGTGTTTTGATACCTTCGTTTTTGCTGTTTGGGACACTTTTAATTTCATCAAAACTTCACGAATATTGAAGCAATTGCTTCAACTGTTGTTTTTAACATGTCATTTAAAGTGTCCACTAAGCACATGTCACAGATACATTTCACTTTTATGAATTAATGAAGCCACCACTGTCAGGTTTTGTGCATGGCGATCAAATTTGAGGGTGTTCCCATACTTTTGCTTGTAGTATATATATTTTTCCTATTTCTATATCTCCTGCTGTTATCTCACAAATATGGACCTTTGTCTAAACTAGTCTCATATACTGGTCTCAACCTGTTTAGATAGATTCCCCTGTATATGTAAAAACACTACCAATAGAATGGCAAGCTGCTGGATTCCTGAAGAATTGTCATGTCTAATGCTCTCTTTTACAGAATGTTGGTCAACTTCTTTCCAGTGATCCTTCTCAAATTTACACTGATATTTTCAAATAAATCATATAAACAATGGGGGCAGTTAATAAAGGTAGGTAACCTGGTCCTGGAAAACCTTTGTGCACAAAATGAGTGTTTGATTATATGACAACTTTAGCAAAGTTCCAGCAATATCATGATGGAACCTGAAGTGGGCTTCATACATTGTACCCATGTTGGAAATCAAACACATGCCTTTGTGTGTGATGTGTGACAAGTGACACTCAGCCATAATTGAACAAATAAACACTTGGTAATTGGTGAGTATTTAGTGGACCCTCTCACATGTTGGAATCAGGTTGTTTCAGTCATATTTCCACCAAATTCTTACATACCAACCATAGCATACACAGTGATCTCCTCTCAAAATGAAATTCAACCAAGATGATTAACATCATACATCTGAATTAATTAATCAAATTAAGAAACAAAAGTATGATACATTAAAACGAGAAACATGATTCCTTAAAGAAAACAATGTCGATCTAGTGATTGATATTATGAGCAACCATGCACATCATCAGGACAAAGACATGATCAAGTCACATGCCCCGTCACATGATACATGGGATAAATTCTTAAAAGACACAAAACCTGATATTAATTATGCGGGTTTGCTCAAAATACACTGGATTACTTAATCAAGAGAGTTTGCAAAACCTTATACCCTACCTCATAAGTAAACATAAGGATTTGTTGGGGTGTTTGATTAGAAAAGGTATCCAACCCTTTAGGATTGCACATTGCATTTTGAAGGGAAAGGGATTTTTAAACCCTATGACTATAACGGAGGACTTGATCAGAAATATTCCCACAATAGCGCAGCAGGGGACAGCAAGAATTGGCTTCACACACTGTACCCACGTGGGGAATCTTACCTGTGCTTCTGACAGACAAACACTTTAACCATTGGGCTACTCGGCATTGAGAAGGTAAAAACACTGACGTCCTAGCAATACTGACAAATTTATGGATAACAACTTCTTTTCTTTAGGGAGCGCGACATTTCATCACAGATACTTGTACCATTGTCCTGCAAGTTGTTATTTATAAATCTGTCAGTATTGTACTTCCCAACTTCTAAAATTCCAATCAAAGAAGTTGCTGACTTCCTACACACAGACAAATAATCAGGCTGTGCGTTGGCCATGATCTCCAACTCAGTGTTCCATGCTGCCAGCCTTGTGCCTCTGTCACAGGCCATCGACATGTGATGATTCGTCACATCTTACAAAGATCATTCAAGATATCGTATATAATTGGTTCATTTTTGACAACCATACACCTTTAGATAAGTACATGTTTTCATATAAAACAGTTACACTTATTAAAAATAAAAGCACTGCATTATACGATAACACCATCAAACTGACACAACAGTCTATATGTGTATTGCATATTAATTTAGCGTATTGCAATAAATATTGTATCTGAAAGTCCCCTCATCAAACTTTGTCCTTCATAAATTTGCTTTTGCTTATTTGTTTACCGTATAATGCCACACTCAGCAATATTACAACAATATGATGACAACCCATTAATAATTACCTGGACCAGACAACCCAGTGATCAGTGAGCAACAATCAACCCCATGGGCTACATTGACATGTGAGTAATCAAGACTCTGAGTCTCACCACCCAGTCCACTAAGTAAGCTCCTATGACCAGCATATGCTGCTATGATGGATCCTAACCCGCAATCACCATTGGGTTTGTCCTTCAACATACTGATGATGATGAGGTGATGGTCATATTCTTCAACAAAACCTGAGATAGCTGCCCTCCCTGATGAAACAATGTTGAACATAGGATGATAGGACTTATCACACGACACAATGGTCTTCATCCAGTCCTCAGAAACAATTGCACAATGTATGTTGGATTTAATTCATGAAGCACCATATGAAAGTTGATACAATGAAACACACTTGACTGTTTACAACTGGACAATAAACAGCTCTATCTGTCTCCCTCACACTCTGTCATCATTTTTCCATCCATGTCGAATTGTGTTTTCCAAATGTGGTCTTTATCCCCCTGCTGAGAATGGAACTTCTTATTTTGTGATTGTTCCAATACTTCAAACCTGAAGCCTTTATCTTCTGCGAAAAGGCAAGAGTTTTGTCACCATGAAAAAGATTATAGACCAACTCCCTTGGTAAACCTTTTTTAGTAAAAACATGTCACATTTGATCATGTCTAGTTTTTCCTGTGACTTGACAATAACCCTATCTTTTACCATCATTTAAAGACTTCTGTAATTCTCTTCACTGGCTAAACTTTGGAGAGTTAAACATCTCAAATCTTATCCTGTCCAGTTCTTCCTGAAGCTGAGCAATTGTTCTGTCTCTCTCCTCCCTCTCCATCACCACATCCTTCAGCAGACGGTTTTTCTCTCCAAGGTCATGGCGGAGCATGTCAAGGTCGCCCTCCTGCTCTGACACCTTCCTTCCTCTGAAGGTTGTGTATGATCTGTAATGATGAGGATGAAGCTATACATATCGGACTGACTGACTTACTGAGTTTGGTTTTACGCCGCTTTTAGCAATATTCCAGCAACATCATGGTGGGGAGTGAGGTTGGGAATGTAGTGTGATTATACAACAGCAGGTACTATGGGCAGGAGGATTGAAAAATTGATTAATGAATGCTCATCACAATTCAGTTGACTTGATGAGAGAGAAATGAAAACTGAGGTGTATGACTTTTCCCGTGCGGTCAGACCACATGCAGTTGACTACATGGGAAGATAGATTGTTAAATAGAATTTAATAGTTTATTGAAGCTTCATAGCTAGCTGCAAAAGTACTAGATAGTAGAAAATAGAATTTAAGCTGCAATAGAGCTAGAAAGATTAGTGCAAATAATTGACTTTAAGGTCACATTAAGTTAGCCTATTTGCATTCACGTTTAGTTCTGCATTTTTTATTATTTGAATTATCTCATCAGTTAACCAAGAGAGTCAAGTTTAGTTCCCCCAAATAGCACATTTTTTCATAATTTCATATTTAGTTAGTTTAGTTTTTCAAGTTTAGTAAAATCTAAATATTTTTTATATTTGTATACTTATCCGGCACTATTTACTTCCTGCACTTATTGCTTACGGCTCGAAAAGCGTGGCTTGCCAGACGATGTCAAAAAGACGTAGGACTGCAATCACTTCCTGGTCTCGGCTGCTACTCGTCTGCGCATGCGTCACCGGAAGGTGACGTCAGCCACCTCAGATTATTGCCAGAAATCCCACAGATGGCAAAGTAAGCGGGAGGTAGCTGATGGGACAGGGTGGGCCCTTATCATAAGTAGTGCAGGATAAGTATACAAATGTAAAAAATATTTAGATTTTACTAAATTACTAATAATCCTGCACTACTTACTTCCTTCAGCAGACGGTCTCTCTCTCCAAGGTCATGGCGGAGCGTGTCAAGGTCGCCCTTTTGCTCTGACACCTTCCTCTGAAGGTTGTGGATGACCTGTAATGATGAGGATGAAGCTATACATACCGGACTGACTGACTTACTGAGTTTGGTTTTACGCCGCTTTTAGCAATATTCCAGCAACATCATGGTGGGGAGTGAGGCTGGGAATGTAGTGTGATTATACAACAGCAGGTACTATGGGCAGGAAGATTGAAAAATCGATTAATGAATACTCATCACAATTCAGTTGAATTGATGAGAGAGAAATGAAAACTGAGGTGTATGACTTTTCCCGTGCGGTCAGACCACATGCAGTTGACTACATGGGAAGATAGATTGTAAAATAGAATTTAATAGTTTATTGAAGCTTCATAGCTAGCTGCAAAAGTACTAGATAGTAGAATATAGAATTTAAGCTACATTAGAGCTAGAAAGATTAGTGCAAATAATTGACTTTAAAGGTCACATTAAGTTAGCCTATTTGCATTCACGTTTAGTTCTGCATTTTTATTATTTGAATTATCTCATCAGTTAACCAAGAGAGTCACGTTTAGTTCCCCAAATAGCACATTTTCAAAACTTCATATTTAGTTAGTTTAGTTTTTCAAGTTTAGTAAAATCTAAATATTTTTTATATTTGTATACTTATCCTGCACTACTTACTTCCTGCACTTATTGCCAGACGGTGTCAAAAGACGTAGAACTGCAATGACTACCTGGTCTCGGCTGCTACTCGTCTGCGCATGCGTCACCGGAAGGTGACGTCAGCCATCTCAGATTATTGCCAGAAATCCCACAGATGGCAAAGTAAGCGGGAGGTAGCTGATGGGACAGGGTGGGCCCTTATCATAAGTAGTGCAGGATAAGTATACAAATATAAAAAATATTTAGATTTTACTAAATTTTAACTTATCCTGCACTACTTACTTCCTGCACTTTATCCGACAGGCTGGAAGGTGGGCGTGTCATCTGAGGGATCTGTGCGCCGTCGCAATGGCTTTGGCTGCTCTAGACGAAAAACCCTTAGCACTCAGTGCTTTCTGCAAATGGTCCATGCGTGCAGATTGAATCGGTCTGGAGCAGGATGCGGAAGACGGCTGTGAGGGTGCACGAGAACGTTCCTCCACGTGGGTAGAGGGAAGGAACCTCCTACCACTAAACTTTTTAGAACGGGGAACCAGTTCTTGGCCGGCCACCAAGGCATGACCAAAGATCAGTCGTAGGCAAGTTGTCTCCTTGACTTTTGCGAGAACTTTGGGTAATAGAACTGGTGGCGGAAACGCATACGCGTGAAGTCCCTCCCACGATAGGCTGAGAGCATCCACCGCCCAAGCCGCTGGATCCGGGACTGGGGATACATACACTGGCAGTTGATGGTTTTGGCTGGTGGCAAACAGATCTATGTTTGGAGAACCTAGTGAGTGAAGGCCTCCTTGTGTAGCATCCACTCCGTGGGAGCAACTCTGTCGGGTCTCGAGAGAGCGTCTGCTAGTATATTGCGGCACCCGGAATATGCCGAACTCTCAACAGAATGTGGAGATCGTCGACCAGTTGAAAGAGCCAAAAAGTCTGATCGAGAAGAAACTGTGAGCGTGTCGACCCTTGCTTCCGTATGTACCATACCACCGTGGTGTTGTCCGTGGCCACTAGAAGACAAGTTCCTCGTAGTCGATGTGCCCAGTGATGAATAGCGAGGATCACGGCCTCCAACTCCAGACTGTTTATATGCCAGTTGATGTGTTGACCCGACCACAGGCCGGAGGCTGTCTGGTCGTGTAAGTGAGCGCCCCAACCCTGCAGGGAGGCGTCCACGAACAGTTGGCAATCCGGAGGCCGCTCTGTCAAAGAGACTCCTCCTAAGACGTTCAATGGGCGAGTCCACCAAAGAAGATAGCGATGTAACTGAGGTGGAAGGCAAAACCGTTGATGAACGTCTGCCCGACGAATGTATGGTTGAAGAAAGCGCTGCAGAGGACGAAGTTGAAGACGCCCTCTGCTGGTAAGATCCTGCGCCGACGTCAACAATCCCAGAAGTGCCTGCCACTCTCGGAGAGACAGAGGTTGGGAGAGCGCACGTGGAATCAGAGACTGAATCTTGTCCCACCTGTCCAGAGGAATCTGAACTAGGTTCTTGTCCGTCTGGAAATGACCTCCGATGAATGTCAGAGTGTGAGTCGGGACAAGCTCCGATTTTGTCAAAGTTGACCCAGCCAACCTAGTTGGCGCAACAGACGAAGGTGAATGAAATCCCGTTGTTGTATAAGAAGCAGACGGTCCAACAGGTGCATAAAGCAATCGTCCGGGTATGGGTTGAAATTGATGCCCCTCAAATGAAGATACCGGGAAATAGAACTTATGATACGCGTGAACAACCACAGCGCCCGTTGAAATTCAAATGGGAGGACAGCCCATTGGAAATGTTGATTGTTGAAAATAAAGCGCAGGTACTTCCTGTCGCTGGGGCGTAATGGAACATGGAGGTATGCATCCTGTAGGTCCAGGCTGATGAGGGGAAGTCGTTGACGCATACCATAGATTTGAGGTATTCGAGGGACGTCATTCGGAAGTGCGGAGGACGTTCCAGGAGAATCTCGTTGAAATAGGACAGATTGTGAATCATCCTCATTTTCGTGGACCCTTTCTTCGGCACTAAGAATATTGGAGAATAAAACCCTGGTGTTGTGACAGGATACAGGGGTAATTCGATGAGCTCTTTTTTCTCAACAAAATCGCTATGTTCTCCGCTATGAGGTCGTGTTGAAACTGAGAGTGATTGTGCCGGAGAGGAACACAGTGTCAGAGGTGGATCAGAGAGGAGAGGAGCCAGAGAGCCCCTGCCTCAATATATCGGTGATGTATGGATCCTCTAGGATGGACCAATTTTCCCAAAAGATCCCTAATTTCCCACCTACCGGTGTAGGATAAACTTGGACGACTGGAGGTGGAAGTGTCCAGTCGTGCGTGTGTCCCTCACTTCACTTGCCCCTACGCCCGTCGCCCTGGGTGGGAGCACGCCGACGTTGATATCCTCCCCTGTCTGATCTTGGCAGCACCATGTCCCCTGCCACGAGACGGCGCTGAGTTACTGGCACGCCGAACAGAAGGTCGCTGAGGCTGGTAGGTGTTGGATGACGTGGAGGAAGGACGTTGTCCCTTTTGAACCGCTTTCAAGGCGATCTCTCCCCTTTGGCAAAATCACACACCTCCCGATAAACGTCATGAATGGCATTGTTTCAACAGTGATGACGATGACCAGGGTTGGTGGAATAATTTCCGCTGAAACTCCGAATCCCATGAAGAAAGGAGAGGAAGCCTTGCCGACGAATTACGCACGCGTTGTAAGCGCCGACCTAAGGTGTTCACGCAGGTCAGTGAGCACTTTGCCCTGCCATAGCATCATAGTTGTGTGAGATGATCCAGTCGATCTGGATTTATTTCCTTAAGATCCTGGTGATGGCATCAGTTGCTGACGCCAATGCCGATATAGGGCCGGAGCATACGCTTAAGTTCTAAGTCCCACGACCTTGTATCCTGAACTTCATAGGAGGAGACAGAGGAAGAGCCTGTCACGCGTTTCATTTCCTCATCCACCTTACTCACTGTCTGGGCAAAGTCCAAGCCATGAATAGGATGAGTCATCACGCCGGACTCTAGGCGCGTTTAATAGTTGGGTTGAGAGACATTCCCGCGAAATCTTCATCAAAGTGTAGAGAATCTCTCTGACAGCCTCATGTGTCGGTAACATTAAGGAAGACGAGTCCCAAATAGTAAGTGACTTTGCAACATCAGGTCCCCGGTGAAGGGACTGAGGTTATTAAACGATCAACAATCCAGTCAAACATGTGATCGAAAGCCAAGGTGATTAGAGCCCATGTCTTCCTCATAGTCTGGGCAAAGTCTCTCTCTGAGGATGGTGAACAGAGCGGCAACAGGAACAGCTACGTGCAGACGACGCCTTAGCAGAAGACGACTTGCTCCGAGGTCTCGACTTATGCTCGCCTGCCGAAGACGTGGAAGCAACGGGAGACGTTAGCATAGGCACAGGGGGCAGACAAAGTAGACAGGATGATAGGCACCGATGCTGGAGGAGGCAGAGGTGCCGTAATCGTCGGAGGTGGCAAAGGTGGCAAAGACGCTGGAGGCGCCGTAGGGGGGAGAGGCGCCGATGTTGCTGGTGGCATAAACGGCATAGGCACTGATGTACCGGCTTGACCTGATAGTAAAGTCAAGAGAGTGCTGAGCGTGGATACATCAAACTGCTGGTGGCCGTATGGCGTCTGCATCATAGACGCCTGAGGCATTGGAAACCCTGCGAGGTGCCTGCCCCGGGAACACTGGAAAGGACTGCGACACAGGAGCCTGGGGCGTCTGACACGGCGCAAACTGCTGGCCCATCAGTCGTTGTGGAGACAACATCGGCAACAGTGTAGGAGGTGAGGGAGCGCCAAGCGCCAAAGCGCCAGGCGCCGACGGTCCAAGCGACGACGAAGTTCCAAGCACCGAGGCGCCAAGCGCCGAAGCGCCAAACGCTGTAACACCCGGTGACATAAGCGGCGAAGTCATCATCTGAATGCTGGTGACAGGCGCACTCGGTGACACAGTGGACGCTGCAACACTTGATGTAGACGTAGTGGTCGTCAAGACCGGTGTCGAAGTAGTAGACATACTCTTTCGTCTCTGTTGTCCCAGGCGCTTCCTAGAAACCTGGAGATAAACGGAGAAACTCTTGGGTGAAAGAACAGCGCAGCTGGCACATTTATGGCCAAGGGTACATTGAGTGGTACAATTCAAACATCGGGGATGAGGGTCTTTACGAGACTTCCCACCCCTACAATGTATACAACTTGCGCTGTACATGGATCTGCAATGAAGCAGAAAACCCAGTTAACGCACATAAAAAACATTACATACAAAAGTAATGAATATAACAGCATAGTTGAGAACAAAGTCTCAAAACAACTGAAAGTTAAAGACTGACTGAGTGAGTTTGGTTTTACGCCACTTTTAGCAATATTCCAGCAATATCACGGCAGGGGACACCAGAAATGGGCTTCACTCATAGTACCCCATGTGGGGAAAGTTAAAGAGACCATAATACAGGCACAATAAATATACCACTATTATATGGTATAGTATATAAGCCTGAACCAAATGAAACACAACGACTTATCAAATACGGCGAAGTATTTAGTTGTAATGGCGAAGTGAAAGTGTGATGACGGGACCGTGTATAAAACGAACGACATCACTACACAGAACTACTCAATAAAAAGAGAAAGTGAAAGATAATACCTACCTGTATGTATGTCAGTCTGTATTAATTCTTCAAAAAATAATCCCGTAGAAGGCGGGAAGTAGAGCTGGCAAACAACACGTCTAACGAGGCGTGCGAAAAGCAATGATCTGAGGTGGCTGACGTCACCTTCCGGTGACGCATGCGCAGACGAGTAGCAGCCGAGACCAGGAAGTGATTGCAGTTCTACGTCTTTTGACATCGTCTGGCAAGCCACGCTTTTCGAGCCGTAAGCAATAAGTGCAGGAAGTAAGTAGTGCAGGATTAGTTAAAAATTAAATATTATGTCCTGGTTAACTCAAACTCAAAGATTTTAAAGAATTTTGTATGAACCCAAAGCATGTGTTTTAGGGATGTACCTTTCCCTTTGTAAGGAAGAGGTCACTTGTGAGGAGGTCTTTGGCTGATGGACGTTCTGGGGGCTCTGTGTGAGTCATCTTGAACACTGCCTTCGCCTGGAATACAAGATTAAATGCACATGTATTTTCTGGAGCTTAATTCCCAATCTTATCCTTCATTCTTCTGCATGGTTTGTTGGTTCCAAAATCATTTCAATATTATCTAAAATAAACAAGATCAGCAGTGCATGAGAAAGACCCTCCCTGGGTGAAAATGTTTCTTAAAACACAGGGTCATGTTGAAGAAAATGTGACTGTCTAATGGGAGGTAAAGTGAAACCTGATTTGAACTAGCTCTAGCTGATATGACTTGATCATAAAATGGTGATGCAAATGTAAACAAACAAATATAAGGTCTAACAAAAAACATGTAATTGAATTAGGTTTTGTTTGTTGTTGTTTAAAACCACACTCAGCAATATTACAGCTATAAGATGTCTGTCTGTAAATAATCCAATCTGGACCAGACAATCCAGTGATAAACAACATGACCATAGATCTATGCAATTGGGATAAGATGACATGTGTCAACCAAGTCTGATAGTGTGACCACCCGATCCCGTTAGTCGCCTCTTACGACAAGCATGGGTGCTAAAGACCAATTTGAACCAGGATCTTCACAGATCCAATAGGAACTGAAAGGTTTGTTATATTTTTTGCCACAAGAAAGTAGTTCTGTTTTCATAAAAATGTCAGTATAAATTATCCAAGCTGGTCAACCTGGATCAAGTATAATAGGAAAGATATAGTTGAAGCTTTATACAGTGAAACACTATTGTGACGAACTTGAAGTGTCAAATTTACTGTTAGGGTGTTGAAGTGAAGCTGAGTATTCCTTCTTCAGTCATCATTTTGTGGTTGTATTGAACTACAGATAACTTAAAGTATTTAAATAGATTCCTTCAACTTCAACATAATGGTGTTTGACTGTATTGTAGGACGAAGCCATACCTGCCCTGGCCAGTGTTGGGAGAATACCTCGGGTATATCTCCCTTCTTGAGACTTGTGATAGCTTCGTGTCTCTCCATCTCTGTCACAAAGCGATTGTACTGCTCAAACAGAATGACTCCCAGGCTGAAGATGTCACACTGGTAATGTGGAAGAAAACATCAAATTTAACTACTGTAACATGTTATATATGGGATTAAACTTTCTCAGTAAGGTACAGATTCCAGTACCTTTTGGGGGTTACATCTTATCTGGGATTCAAACCCATACCCTCAGAGTCAAGCACCTAATCGCCAGCACACAAAGTCAGTGACCTAACCCACCCTGGCTTCCACAAAAATGGAAGCCTGACAATTGGTATTCCAGATCATGTACTTTGTTTACCCCTCTGACAAGCTCCCACAGCCGGAAGCTGTGAATACACACAATGTCATATAGAAAGTTGTCAAATGTAACACGTTACATTTGGGATTACACTTTCTTACAAAAGTACAGATGCAAGTACCTTTTTAAGCTTTTGTCCCATCCAGGATTAGGTAATTTGGTGCCTGACTCTCTGATTCTCATTCGAAACTCTCTGAGTATATTTATTTGAGAGATACTGAAAAATGAAACCTTCATTCTGAGAATATAAAACCCAATGGAGGTGTCTTCAGATCTTCTCACACAGAGGGATCATCATCATCATCATCATCACCATCACCATCACCATCATCATCATCATCAGTGTATATTGTTAGTCTCATTCTGCTTAAAGCTCACCTTATTGTCATACATGCATCTTTTCAGTTGTTCTGGGGCAGCATATGTCAGAGTCCCCACTTCAGCTGTGTGACGGTCGAACTTGAACACTTCTGTGACACAATCAAAACAGTGACAGGGTTTAACACAGGGGTCAGTCAACACACCAGGATGTCAAACCACATTCACTCACTCACTCCAAATTGGCTGTGAGTGAGTCGATGTTGACGTTATATTCCAGCTATTTGACAAAAAATACAACTTACATGAAACAATCTAATTTTTTCAGGCACTGTAGCTCATCTGCACCATTATGCATAAAATCTTAGATTAGGCCAGAAATACAGATTAGGCCATAATAAATGTATTACAAGATTTTAATCCTCACCTCCCCACTACCACACACCCCATTCACAAGAAGATATAACACATCTTGTTTTGACAATGACCTAAAAGGTGACCATGCCCCTATCACATAAATACAAATGACATACAATGCAGTGGGATTGTTTTATCAAACATGTACATGTAAGGTTCCATTCCTGTAGAGCTAACCATGCCCAAACCTGCAAAACCTCAGTGCTGACCTTGACCTTAGACGAATCTCAGCTCAAATTTGTTCAAATCAGGACACCATTTAAAGAGAAATGCCTAAATGTTCCAAAACTATTTTTGAAGCATTTGTTTTATCTCGTGACCTTTATCTTTGACCTTTCGAAAAGAATTTCCCTCGGCAATTTGGAATAAGTCCAGGAAGAATTATCTCTCAGTTCAGTGTACCTTTGTGTTGTATATCTTCAATCCACATAAAATCAATCCTCATGTATTGTCAAATTCTAAAATAAACCCTAAATGAAATCCCATAAAATGGTTGCTGAAAAAATGAAACACAATATTAACCAGGGGCGGATCCAGGATTTGGGAGAAGGGGGGGATGCACATACATTATTAATTCCAAAGGTTAAGGAAAATGCTCTTTAGGGAAAAACAATTCGGAGGAGAAGGGGGATGCGCACCCCGGCTCTGGATCCGCCCCTGTTAACTGTACCAGTGAAACATTTATTATGGGCTCTAAACAGGTTCACATTTTGTTCATGACCTCACTGATGAGATCATCGATGTACTGAAAGACAGAAGTATAAAAAAGAAAAAGGCATTAACAAAAGACTGTAGCAAGACACACACACTATTTCATTACTCAACTATTTACCGTACTTAGTAATGGCTAAAAATATGTGATCAGTGTTTTGGACCAAGATAAGATTCTTAATGAAACTGGACCTAATTCCTGTGAGTAAATTTCAAAATCACCATTTTGAGGATCATCCATCCAAAGTTTCAGCTTCACAGTCTCTGTAGATTCAATTATGTCTAAAAATATAGAGGTTTATGATGTACAAATGAGGTCATGATTTGGGTCATATATATATATATATATGTTACACAAGTAATTAATTCTTATTACAGCAGAGACTGGATCCTTAAAACAAATCTAAGCATCATTAGTAGTTTCAGTTAAGACTGAGCTGTTTGCAGATTTTGTAAGAATTGTTTGTTTAATTAATTGCTGCAATCTTCCAGCAATAGGAGGTCTGTCAGTATTAAGTTGAATTGTATCTGGACCATACAATCCATGTGATTGCCGTCATGAGCATCGATCTGTACAATTGGGATACGATGACATTCATCAACCAAGTCAGTGAGTCTGACCACCCGATCCAGTTAGTTGCTTCTTTTGATAAGCGTGGTTTGGTGAAAATCAGGTTTGGAAAAAAGGTCTTTAGCAAAAGCACATGAAGGTCAATGTCAGACTGTTACCAGAATCTGGTAACATGGATAAACCTTTCAAGTGACACATCTCTAAAGTCCAAAGTTTCTGCTTCAACTGCTGTGACTATACAGATGACAACTGAAACCTCACATGAGGTTCAGTTTGATGAACTAAAAATAGTCCTGTTTTTCCTCATCACAAACTTACTATAGAAATCCAGTAAACTTAGGCTCAGTATTATTCGTTAAACTGCTATACTGAGTCTAACAAACGATTTGTTTACTTAGATGGTATAGAAATCACCACTAAAACCTGTAAATATTCTTCTAAAAGAGTTAAGGACCAACCAATTCTTTCATATCACTATAGTAACTGTGTCAATAGGTTACAAAGTGTTATAAGAACATTTTTTTAGAGTAAAATTGATATTTTATACTTATCCTGACTCATGCTTATTGCTTGTCTTCTTCTTCTTGCGAACATAGTGGAACACGTGTATCTCCCAATTGAAGTTCCCTTCAATAAAAAAATCACTAATTAGTACTCACGAGTTACCTCCCTTCCACAAGCGCGGGAACGAGGGCGCCACCTCAACCCATGTGCCTCACTCTCTCCTCATATACTGAGCCCAACACTTGAATTTCCAGGGAAATCCAAAGTGTTATGTGGGGAGGATGGGAGGGCTTACCTCATGAGTCAGGATAAGTATAAAATATCAATTTTACTCTAAAAATTACATATTTTTCCTTATCCTGACTCATGCTTATTGCTTGTAGAATCCGACGGAAAAGGAGGTGGGAATATATAATACTTTGGATTTTAATAATTAGTGATTTGAACTGTGAAGATTGTAATAACCCTATGGGAACTTCATAAAGGCACTGAACTGATGAATTCCTGCTGCTAACTTATCAGCTGCAATATAAAGGTTATTACAATTTACTTATTATGATAAAAGTATATATAATATTAATACAATGCTTAAGACTAATAGACTTAAGCTTGTTAATATGATAGCATAAACTCTTAGAGTTTGTTAGCTAAAATACTTTTATGATATAAACATAGTACTGAGCTTAAGATGTGATTAAACTTAAGCTAAATATATAATAACAAAACTCCTTAGAGTTTATTAGCTAATATACTTTTATGAAGTAAACATAGTACTAAGCTTAAGATATGAATAAAACTTAAGCTATATATATAATAGCAAAACTTCGTAGAGTTTGTTAGCTAATATAAGTACACTGGTCAGTGCTAGGCAGCCGCAATCAGTAGCTCCTTCTATTCTGTTGATACTTTCGTGGATATATACCTGCTACACTGACCAAATTTGTCAGAGATGTCCCTAACATTACCATGATCATTTGTGTGAAATTTCAGACTTCAAAACTGTCAATATGTGGAGTTATTTGATGTTTTTCACATTACTGTGTATGGGAATATTCACATTCTGGCCTTGGCTATCAATCTCTCCCCCTCCCAAAGCACCCAGGATCACAAATGACTGTTAATCAACCTCACCTATATGGTGTGTCTAAGCAGCAGGGAAGATCTTTTGTCTCTCAATCAAAGCTCAGCCAGCCCAGGTTGCTCACCCTGTGCCCCTGGTGGGAGTGGAGTCTTACATCACCATATCGACGCCTCACTCCTGACAACATTACGCAATGCTGGGATCTCAGTCAGCAAGAGAGAACCAAGAGAGGAAACAGAGCAGGAAGGAAAATTAAAAGGAAAATTGCTGTGTGTCACAATGTTTTCCCAAATGTTTCAACAACTGTGTCCTGTCGTGGTGCTAACCACAAATAATCTCATCCAAGTACACCCTCATGCTCCCCAAAATGTCTTAGAATGTGCCTTTGGAATGCCTAGTCATCTCGTAATAAACCTGTAGATATCTTTGATATGATCATTGATGATGATATTGATGTGCTAATTCTCACAGAGACCTGGCTGAGGAATGTTGGTGATGAGACTACGATAGCTGAAATGACGCCAATGTCTCATTCCTTCGTGCATCATCCACGACTCGACTCTAAAGGTGGTGGTCTTGCGATTCTCTACAGGAAAACACTCACAATTCGTCTTTACAGGATTTAAACAGTAGTCTTAAATCTTTTTTGAAAGATGGAGGTAATGTTGACATCTGGACAGACTACTGTGAGACTTGGTCTGTATTTATCGTCCCCACCCTCCGTCAAAACAAACTGTCAAACAAAAGACTTTCATCAAGAGTTATCTTCGCCCTGTTTGCATCACACTCCAGAAGCTGTACAATTTACCTTGGTGGATTTTAACATACATTTCAATTTCCAGGAAAACCAGAGGTAAAGAAGTTTGTCAAGCTCATGAACTCTCACTCGTTGACTCAGCATGTCATCATGCCAACTCATAAGTCCGGAAATATTCTGGACTGGGTTATCACACACAGTGATCTCAAACTTATTGGTGACGTTCAGGTCAAGGACCAGCAGATTTCGGACCACTTCAGTGTCTTCTTCAACTTAAAGCTGGCAAAGCCAGAGAATGAGCGATTGGTTTTACCTTGTCGAAACATCAGTAAAATTCCATCCGAGACTTTCAGGCTTGATTTACTGACCTCTAAATTACTGAGTGATCCTCCTTCTGACGTTGATGAACTTGTTCAACTCTTCTGTGATACTCTTTACATCACTTCTGGATAAGCACGCTCCTACAGTTGAGAAGAAGGTTATCCTTCGTCCTCATGCCCCATGGTATGACGAGGCTGTACGTCACTCGAAGTGTCTACGGCGCAGAGCAGAGAGAAAATGGCGCAGTACTCGGCTAGAAATACATCGGCAAATATATCGGCAGTGTTGCAAATGATACCAGACGACTGATTATTTCGGCTAAAAGGAACTATTGTCTCAAGAGCATAACCGACAGCATGGGTAAGCCAGCATCCCTTTATCGGCTCATGGGCAAACTGCTTTGGAAAGGGACGAGAAAAAGATACTCAGTCTCCAGCAGAGGAACAGAAGGAACTGGCAAACCTCGTTCAATTCCTTCTTTATCGCAAAAATTGAGAAAATTCGTCATGGTCTTGCCTGTGATGGCGATTACAGTGAACCAATGTTTGCAGGTGACCCCTGTCATATTTCAGAACATTTAGTCCCAAGGAAATAGAACAACTCATTCGTTCATCAAAACCCACTTCTTGTGACTCTGACCCCATTCCAACCAAACTTCTAATAAAGCATCTGGACCCACTGATTTCACCCATCACTAAGATTGTCAATATAAGTCTTCAGAACGGTCTGTTCCCAAACAGTTTCAAGGGGGCGGTGGTCAGACCAACTATTGAAAAGTCTGGCTTGGATC